CACCCCCTTTGTTAAATTAAAACCAAAGAATACATTAATTATTATAATTTTTCTTCTTCTTAATTCTACAAAACTTGTTGTATATATGATTGTGACCTGAGATTCCAATGTCGTAGCCAAAAAGGAGACCACATGAGGCAGCCACAATGCAACTCATGACAACCGCGGCTGTGATCTTGGCATCAATGTTCCCGACCTCGGAGTCATCATCATCAAGAGCCAATCCTCCGATAGCCATTTTGCTTATCTCTTACGCATGCATGAATGGTTTGTTCTTTGTTGTGAAACCAAATGAACAAAGAGAATACATTAAAGAAGGCTTTTAGGTGAGTCTTTTTAGTTAGTTGGCGTGATGACTTGATGGTGCAAGTGTGTGCAACCACCACTTATCTTTTTATTTCTTTTCAAATGGTTAGCATGTTGTACATAAATACATACATCTTTGACGCTTGGACCACGTACCTATATATGTAATAATGAACTAAGCTAATTTTACGTTATTCAAAGAAAAAATACCATATGTAGGTAACCATAGATCGAGTTTGGTATAACATCTTTATCGTCCAGGGACAGAAACTGAGAAAAGAATCTATTGAATAGATACCCAAACAAAGACAAAGTTTACATAATGGTTGTTCGTCACGTGTTCCACCATTTTGGTATGAAGATTTAAAGATTTTAATTTTCAGCCTCAGTGCTATTTATTTCTAGTAACGTATAAAAGTGTGACGACATTTAGCACATTACAAACAAATTTGCTGGCCTTCCTTAATAAATAAAACGTAAGAGATGTATATATATTTCTTAATGTGTAATATTTGCTTGTGTACCATTATATATCTATTCATTCCTCTATAACATCTTTGTCATATGAATTCCATTTTAAATTTTGAATACGGATCGGAGCCTTCAACTATATAAAGCTATTGGGACTTATTTGTTTTTTCACTCTTTAACAACAATAGTGGCATAGAGCTATTGGAACATTTTATAAACTAGTGGTCTCTAGATTTAATATGTAGACACATTAAAGGCCACACACACATATTCAATTCGTGTAGTTTCTATTGATAGTCTTATAATAAGATTTAGCTTTGTCTAAGTCCAAATTGTACAAACCCTTTGTTGAATAAGGCAGCACCTTCTCTATATTCATATCATCAGTACGTATATTACCTTTACACTTAAAATGTGTATTAAACCATATGTTTCTCATTTCGAGGATGCTGCTACCATCTTTTAGAATTTTGCTTTTCACTATATGCAAGTATTTTTTTCCCATTTGCATTATGTAATATTTTCTTTTTGTCGCCAACTAATTTTATTAATATGATAAGAAATAACTCATTTTCATTGTGAGTTATCACCAATTAAAAGTAAATAATTTCTTTTTTATTTGTCGGAAATAGTTTATGTATTTATTTCCCTTATTTTTTTTAAATTAAATGTAAAATTTTATTCAATCAAAAACTATTTGTACAATGAATGTTTCAGTTTGTTCGAAATAGTTTAAAGGTAAAACATACTTTTAATTAAAAAGGAGACAAAACCCTATCTATGTATCTTGTCGAGTTGAAAAACTATAACCTTAGGCCATCATCATAGCGATAGTCACCTATCTGATTGAGCTGATGCGGTTTTGAACATTCTTGTCTACGAACCTAATAAGCCGAGTTTGCGCAGAGTGTAGTACTACCCTGTGCTTTCTATCGTTCTTCTTACACCAAGGGCAATAGAAAGTGGAGTGAAATATATACCAAAACAAGAATAAATGGAGAGTTACTAAAATTCCTCCATTTTTAAAATTCTATTTGTAAATTAGTTAAATTTTAAAAAGACCACACAAATTTTACAAGATTTAGGAATGCTAGATTATATATTTTAAGAATTAAATCTCTAACTACCCTATTGACTACTTTTTAGATTTGAGTCCACCAAAAACATACATTATTCACAAGAATAGCATTCTATTATTTGTTTAAGACAAACTCATTTAATATATAATTAATCCAAACCCCTCACTAATCTCTCACAACACTAAAACCATTATCTCTCCAAATGAATTCTCCAATATCTCAAACTCTAATTGTCACAGTTGTTCTCCTTTTAATTCCAACATCCTCAGCATCATCACCACCAACACTCGAAGACAGTTTCACACAATGTCTCACTGTTTTCAAACCTTCCGACCCAAACCTCCCAATCCAAAACTTCACATACACGCAACAAAACCCTAACTTCCTCACCGTTCTCAACAACTACGTCCGTAACCTCCGTTACTTCAACAGCACAACGCGTAAACCAGTCGCGATCGTGGCCGTGGCTCACGTCACTCATATCCAATCTACAATCAACTGCGCCAAAAAACTCGGCCTCCAGCTCCGAATCCGTAGCGGAGGCCACGACTACGATGGAATGTCTTACTTATCCACGGTAGATTTCATCATCCTCGACATGTTTAACTTAAGGTCGATTGAGATCGATCCAAAACTCGATACCGCTTGGGTACAGTCCGGTGCGACCCTAGGAGAGATCTACTACAACGTTGCCAACAAAACCAACAACCTCCGTGGGTTCCCAGCCGGAATCTGCCCCGGTCTCGGAGCTGGTGGACATTTTAGCGGTGGAGGTTATGGAAACATGATGAGAAAATATGGTTTATCGATTGATAACATTATAGACGCTAAGATCATTGATGCTAACGCAAGAGTCTTGGACCGGAGCTCAATGGGAGAAGATCTTTTCTGGGCCTTACGAGGCGGTGGAGCTGCTAGCTTCTGTGTTGTCTTAGCTTGGAAGATCAAGCTTGTTCCAGTGCCTGAGAAAGTTACAGTCTTTAACGTTGAAACGGTCGGAAACAGAGGAGGAGTAACCACTACTGATCTTACAGCTAAATGGCAAGAGATCGCTGACAAGATCGATAAAGATTTGTTCATAAGATTAACGTTGAGCACAAGTAACAAGACTGTCAAGGCTTCTTTCATGGGAATGTTCTTAGGAAACTCCGAGAAGCTTCTAGAAATTATGAACACCAAATTCCCTGAGATTACTCTGAACAAAACAGAGTGCATAGAAATGAAATGGATCGAATCTGTTCTGTTCTGGCTTAGTATCCCACCCGGTACAGCACCAATATCGGTCATGCTAAACCGGATCCCGCAAAAGCAAATCTACCTCAAAAGAAAATCCGATTACGTGCAAAAACCGATCTCAAAACCCGGTTTAGAATCTATATTCAAGATTCTGTTAAAGAACGAGAACGTCTCGATGGCTTGGAACCCGTACGGAGGGAGAATGAGCGAGATCGCGGCGACAGAGACAGCGTTTCCTCACCGAGCAGGGAACATGTTCAAGATTCAGTATTCATCGAACTGGTTCGTGTCGGGTGAAGCAGCTGCTAACGATTGCTTGAGCCAGACGGAACGAGTGTTTGACGCAATGATCCCTTACGTGTCTAAGAATCCAAGAGAGGCGTTTTTGAATTACAGAGATGTTGATATTGGGAAAAGCTTGAGCTCTACGTATGAGGAAAGTAAAGTGTATGGAGTTAAGTATTTTAAGAATAACTTTGAGAGGTTGGTTCAGGTTAAGACTAGAGTTGATCCTGACAACTTTTTTTGGTATGAGCAGAGCATTCCGGTGCACTTTAGCCGCCGTTAGAAACTTATTTTAATAATTTGTCTTGTAAGCACAAATCACATGATCAATAAAAATTTATCACATAGTTTAAACTTTTAATATTTTAATAAAAAATCAGTAATTAAACAGAAATTAAATAACGGTCAATATTTTTATACTAATATTCATGCAGGTATTCGCAAATAATATAAACACATGAGTTTTCATTGACATAAAAAAAATAAAGGTCTTTGGACACTGAATTCTTGGGTCAAAAAGGTATTCAATATATAAAAACGATCTGATAATTCATGTTTTCCTATATATTAGTTTACAATTTTTCAAAAATAAACTAAATTTACATAAATTTTTGATATTAATAATATCTATCTAAGAACATATATTTATGATGATTAATTAAAATTTGATAGTTATGGTATTTTTTAAATTGTTATGACGACAAAAAATCCAAATTTATTGGGACATAATATTTTCATTGAAGAAAAAACATATTAACAGTTTACAGAATTATAACAATTACAGCTTTATATTAATCATTAATTTAATCACAAAAATTTATAATTTTACCTAGATAGAAAATTGTAATATTTAATTTGATAAAAATATGCTAAGGTGAAAAAACATTATTTTGATGAAAAAAATTTAAAGCTTGCAGATCAATATGTTGAATGTGTTCGAATTAATATTATTCTGTTATATGATAAATTAAATGATAGCATTATTTCTATGGCACTTATATAGAGTTTTAATAACTTCAAATGTTATAAAATCAGTTGTTATTCAACAAGAATGTCAATTAGTGAAATTCATTATATATTTTGACTAATTATATATCAGATGTATTTTGACCACACAATTAATTAGGTTATCAACAATCCTGATGAGATTTAATTAGGTTACCGAAAACAACATGTGCATTATTACTGTTAACTTAAACAATACAGTAAAAATTATAGATATCTGAACCTATCTGCGCCGGGCATTATTTTTCTTTGTACCGCAACAGACCGGATTTAAAACTGTGGGTAAAAAACTATATCCAAGTGGGGCGGCATGCTTCTCTTTTTTAAAAATTACTTTAAAAATTAAATTATTAATTTTCAAATTTAAATTATTAATTTCAAAATTTAAAGTTATTCCGATCATATTTTACTAATATAGTTTAAAATAATTTTATTCCGACTATATTTTTTTTTTTTCAGATATCAGAGATAGAGATATGATATAGATATCTTGAATGTTTTTTTCTCGACCAATTATTTATTTTGGTTAGATTTTCTAAGTGGTTTAACAATTAGAAAAAGATTTGCTAAATGGGTTTGGGCCTCATAAAGTCACTAAACAACAGTAGAATTAAGGATCATCTTCTTTCTTGTGATATTGAGTTGTGGCCATCGACGATCGTCGTCGTCTTCCTTCTCCTTCCTCTGTACTCTCAATATCCTTTGCTCACACCGTTTCCTCGTGGGTGTATTTGTCTCTGTAGAACTGATGGAGTCACCTGAAGGTTATTTCATTTGATAAAACTTCTGATTTAATAAGTTTCCATTAATTGATCACCAGGTGTTCGACGATATTCCCCACCCAAATGAAATCTTGTGTTTTTTTTGTTTCCTTTCACAGATGGGAAATTTAATTTCGCCAAAGAGCTTTATGGTGAAAGTTTGAATCTTTCGAAACATGGTGATGACTCTTAACCTTTATACGTTGTGCAATTGACAAAGATTTGGTATTTTCTTATGAAATCTTCATAGTTAACTAAGGTTTCAATGAGGCTTAGCTTAGAAACGAATCTTGCATTAATTGGAATCTTTCATGTGTTTGCTTGATTGTTAAAGATTAGAGAGCAGAATTAATCTTTACAGTATTGCTAAGTTTTGACAAGAGTCATCTTTTGGTTTAGGTAACGATGATCATGTTCTTGAGGATTCAGGGGATCTATTTTAATGATCAAGAGTCATCTTTTGGTTTACTAAGGTGTCAATGAGGCCTAGTTTAGAAACACCTCTTCCATTGATTGGAATTTTTAATGTCTTTGCTTGATTGTTAAGGATTAGAGAGCAGAACCAAACTTCACTGTATTGCTAAGTATTGACAAGAGTTATCTTTTGGTGTAGGTAATAATGATCATGATCTTGAGGATTCAGGGAATCCATTTTATGGAAGTTCAGATGAAGAATATGGTGAAGCTCATGTTTTGGACAATGATAATAAGCTGAGACGTGAGCAATTCCACACGGTATTCTTTTTTTTTTTACTTTATCATTCTCTCTTTGTAAATTGCTTTTTTCAGTTTTGAGCAAGTTCTCTATATGTCTGGCTTTTTTTGTAAATCGAAATCGCAGGCGGGATACCGTGAAGGGATTGCTGCTGGTAAAGAAGCTATTGCGCAGGAAGGTTATAACTTTGGCTATAAGGAATCGGTTATTACTGGCTACAAGTTTGGTATTGTCAGAGGTGTTTCCAGGTAGAGTTTACTAAAATTAGTCATGAGCTGCTGCAATGTGTTAGATATACTTATTCTGTTTTGGCCCTTTTTGAAGTGCACTGGCTTTCCTCCCGAATGAGTTAAGAGAAAAGCTAATCGATGAACAAGAAACTAGAGAGAAGTTTCAGAAACTACACAGTTCTGTGCATGCTCTCTCAACAGAAGTAGCAATGAAGCGGTTCTACGAAACTTTGACTACAGAGCAAGGGGAAGAGAAAAGTGGAGCAGAAGGGTCTGACTCTGGTTCTGGTTCAGGTATTAATGCCACATCTGACTTGGGAAGCTATGTTACAGCGCTAAGCTCTCTTCTTGAAAAATCTCCCATGATTGAAGTTGACTTGGATACATAAAAAGAGTCTTGTTCGTTAATTATTGTCAAGCAAAACCAAGATGTCTTGTTTCCAACCCAAACTGTTTTGTAAGTTCGGTTCTGTTTGGTCCGTTGTTGTTCCGTTTGGTTTGGTCTAGTAAAGTAATTGCTTGCCTTAATATGAATTATCTGTAAATTTACTTTGGGGGACTATTATCGTGTTATACCGTTTCTCACCAATTCATCAGAGGTTTTGCGCTTATCTCTATTCTCTCCGACCATTTATTTCTCAAAGCTGTTATATGAAACTCTGACTTTGAAGTAAGAAGAAGAGAAGAATGGAGAAGAAGTGCCTGACACTTGTTCTGATTAGCGGTCTTGTGTTAATGCCACAACATACTTGAGAAGCATATATCACAATACTTTTGTCAGCGTCTCTGCGAGATTATGGCTTGTTAAGGAAATCAAAATTGGCACTAACAAAGATTTTTAAAATAAATTGTCACTAAGACATCATCAATATTCAGTATATACAACATTATCTCAATGAACCTATCGTCTATAGATGTAAATCATTGCAATAGCTTAGATCGATGCCAAGATCCATTACCGTACGTAATTTCATCCGATTTGAGTTTACAATAACATATTGACAGAATGTAAAGGAGTCTTTTAACCATAACCATAACCATAAGCAATGTCTTTTAAGTTAACATATTTCTTCAATAAAAACACATAAATAAGTAGAACAAGATTGTTTTATATCAAGTGAAGAAACTTCTTAACTAATCCAATAGAGAACCATAAGAAAACTCTGATTCATATGTGTAAAGAAGTAAGAAGACGAGAGCAAGCATCACGGCTTGCTTCATTCAAAAGAGGTCTAAACAGCTCATGAACTATATCCTTATCAGGGTTTATCATTTCCGGTGTTGTTTCAAAGAGAGACTTCCAAAAGTGAAAAATGTTAAGACTCTATAGCTTCTCTTGCAAACCCGTTAGCTTCTGAAACATCCTTAACAAGCTTCAAGTTCTCCTCTAGCTTCTTAAGCTCTTGTTTGTAGTGTTCAATACCAGAAGGTTTAACTAGATCCCACCATGTTTGAGAACTGAAACAATGCGAGCCAAAAACTCTGACTCCAAAAGCAAAATGATATGAATACATTTTGAATTGGTCCCATTGGATTGATTTGCCACCATCCTTATAGACTCCATTCTTGGGTTTTATATATGTCTCAAACACATACTGAATAACATAAAACACTCTTCCTACCACAGGACCATCGAAGTTTCTCTTCCCTCCATACTTGAATAGCCAAAAACAAAAGAGTAACATAGAACGTATGTCATCAGATAATAGGAACATTGTTTCAGCCACAAAAAAGCGAGAGCTCAACTCCTAGTCGTATACAGCCTCCTCTTTCTGCTTCTCCTTTGTCCTACACAAACTGATATTTTCACTTTGGAACCCAACCCAAGTAAGAAAACAAATATATAAAGGAATAATGACGGATCACGCTAACCCTAAAGTGTATGGAGAGTATCTAGACGACTTTGGTAATCTCTTGTTGTGACGGAGAACTCGGTCAGTGGTCATCGACATTGATTTCAATTGTTTTGAGATGTTCGACATGTCAGAGTAGAGCTGTCAATTGGTCCGTCCACCGCCCATCAGACGTGTCCATACAGACAAGTTTATTTATGAGCTATATTTGGACGGTCCATAATGGACATGGGTCTAAAATATGTCCATGTCCAATAAAGACCATATCCAATATGACAGTCAGAGGGACTCATCGTAAAAGACTCGTGCTGCAATTTTTGTGGCCTTTCCAATGCATAAAGATCATTCAAAAACAAACTCATAGTAAAAAAAAATAAAGCAAGAAAATCAGATGAAAATTATATACTTTAATGTCCCAACGCATGTTACTTCTATGAATCGGGCAACATAGAAAAGAACCCTAATTCGTAACTTTAGCTTTCAAATATTGTAAACCCTTTCTTTGAGTCGATATGATATCCTAAAAAAAAAGAAACAGTCATGGAAAAAGAAGAAATAGGCACTGACCTAGTGGTTAGAATTTAAAGTTTGTAATTAAACAAATTAATTTCGGTTTGGAAATAATAATATAAATTATTTTAATTCATTTAATTAGATGACATGGTTAATTTTGATTGGTTAGCTTAGAGGGGGTGAATGAGATAAGTTCACCCCTAGGGGTGAACCCAAGAATTGTTCGAGAAATCGTTATAAAAAAAGAAAAAAAAAAGATTACGGATGGTTTTAATTTTTTTTTAATGTATACGATTCGATAATAACAAAAAAAAAAAAGATAGAGGAAACGAAAGATTTAGTCACAATTTTTTAAGATTAGTTACAACATACAAGATTTCCTAAGGTTTTTGCCAAACCAAAAAAAAAAGGATAAAAGGTTCCCTAAAATATGGTAAATATTATTTGAGGCTTATACATGTGTCCATATATATCTTTCAGAAAAAAACAGTGGCAAGCTAATTTATATGATACTAGTAATGGACCCGCACGTACGTGCGGGTTATTTTTACAAAATTACGATATTTTAAGTAGATGCTATTTTGGTAAAATTTTGTTATATGAGTTTATTTGATAAACTATATATAGACATACAATTGTAAAATATATATATTATATTACATAATACAATTTTAAAATTATTTAAATGAAAATGATAAATGATATTACGTGTTTATTTTTTAAACTAATCAAAACATTTCTAACTGTTTGCTTAGAGATGTTAAATCGGATTTGAGTTTGGCTTTAGTTTGAATTGTTTTATATGTACTTTAGAATGGAAAACCCGTCATGTCCCTTTCCGTCTCGTCCTGACCCGTCCCGTCCCACCCCGCCCCATCCCGTCCCGTCCCACCCCGCCCCATCCCGTCCCGTCTTCTATCTGTCATAAATATTTTGTCCCATAATCGTTTCTTTTTAAAACATAATCATTTGCCAATGTTTATTATAAGAAACTTGGCAAAATATTTAGACGGGAAACCCACCATTTTAAGTCACATGCTCCCACCATAGCATACACAATCCTTGTTTAATTTTTAAGTTTATTGATCTATCAGTTTCATCTTTATTTCTCATTACTTTCTTCAATTCAAAGATTCATGTTTTAGCCTTATTGTTTTCTAAAGATTTAGGTATTTCTATTTTTTTAATACATGGATTTATTGTAGTTTTGTTATCCGAAGTATACGTTATCTTCTTGTACCCGTCATTTCATGTCTAAATATTTGAAATAAATAGGAAAGTGGAAATTAAATTTAGCAATTTAAATTACATGTCCCGTATCATACTCGTGTTTTATATTTGAAAGTTGAAAGTGAATTTAACTTTGTGATCGTGTCTCATAACAATTATATCTAATTGCTATAATTGCTAGATTGCTTTTTGAATATGAATACTTTTTAATGTGAAAATAATAAATTTATGTGATCTAGAATGTTTATTCGCATGATTTTAGCAAAAAAATATGTAATTATTGATTTATTTAAATTTTATTTATATTTTAAATTATATAATTTTTAAAAATTTGATGATATGATCAGTTATGTATATATACTATGTAGAATTTGATTAGTTGATTATTTCATAAGCTAACATATTTTTTTTGTCTTTTTATTTTTCTAAAAAATGTTGGGGGAATTTCAAAAATACCCCCTTTCCAATACCACTTTTTTAAAATACCCCTCTTTCTAATTTTATTAAAAAGTCACTATAAAATTTAAAATTTATCAAAAACATATGTATAAACTTATATTTATAGACACAAATTATCTTTACGTGTGTGTAAATTTTTATATATATTTCATAAGTACCGTATAAATGCCTTTTAAAAATCATATAAAAAGCTTATAAAAACTTTGTAAACCTTTTAAAAACTTTATAAAAACCATATAAATGTCGTTTAGAACCTTTTAAAACCTTCTAAATATTTGGATTTAGTCTCATAGTAGTAAAGATGATCTTGATGAACCTTATCAAACCATATAAAAGTTTATAATTTTTCATATTTGAAAAGGGGTAGTTTTGAAAATGGATAGAAAATAGAGGTATTTTTAAAAAGAGGTACACCAAAAGGGGTATTTCTCAAAAATTCTCAAAAATGTTATCTTTGTTTTTTTAGATATATGATGATTTTGTTTTATTAGATTTCATTCTATATAAATTATTAATTTTTAAATTATATTAAAATATTATATTAATATTAGATATGTTTATGTATATTCAAAATAGATATGCTTACATATATTTAATCTTGAATTTAATTGTCCACTTTTTATGGTAAAAGATTATTATGATTTCCATAAATATAGGTAGTTGTTTTTTTGTTTTTTTGTTTTTTTTTTTTGCTGTCATTAATTCTGTTTGGCAACTGAAATATATTTCATGAATTTTTTTTTAAAGGGGGGGGGGGTGTTTGGCTTCAAGTTCTCCTTCCCAATTAATAGTATAGATTGACATATTGTTTCTTTCTTGTTTAATTGGTTTAGTAGAAATTAGCTAGGTAACAGATTATTTCAGCATTTCTATTCTACATCAGATTATTTTTCATAAAGAGTGTCATTCTAGATTCAATTTTTGTTTTTGGTTATAAGAAAATACTAGATGGTGACCCGCGCTACAACGCGGAGGGAAAGTCTCAGATTTTTCTTTTGATATAAATACATTATATAAAAAGAGAAGATATTTGTTCTCAAAAAAAAAAAAAAGAGAAGATATATTTGTGTGTAAACTATCAACATTTATAGCATTGTCATATATATGTGTGTGTTTTTGAATTTTTATTACAAAAACCTATTTTAACAATGTTTTAAGATAAACTTTTCATATGTGTAAATTTTAGAATTAGCTATCTAGTATATGTATGTTTAGCGACGTATGTTGACAATATGTTATTCAATCTTTTTGTATGCATAGAATATTCTGTTTCTAATAATGATAATATTAGTTAGCACAAAATTAGGCATTGTTATAGGAAACAATTAAATGTGCGATATATTTATTTTGAAAAACCTGTATTGAAATTTATATTGAAATTATAGCAAATCCAATTGTAAAAATAACCCGGAATTCAAAAAAAAACACGACCCGAATCTCTTGTGTACTTCTCTTTTACTATAATAGGGATTCCTACCAAATTTTAATTGAAGTTTGAGAGTGATAGGCTATTGTAGAGATAGCTGCTGACTATTATTTATCGTGGGATTAAAGTGGCTTTGTGCTGACCGTGAAATTAATGATGTTAATTTAGATAACACAAATTGTCCCAATTACATTAGTAAAAGTGATTTTGTCTTGCCACTTTGCTAAAATCTTTGGTTTAAAGAGCTATATAGGGGTGGAACAAACAATTGTTTTGGGTTTGTTTGTGTAATTTCCCTTATCACCACCAATCCTTAGTCCATATAATATAAACAAGTATTAAGGTTTATATTATATGGTCAAACCGATCGATTTCAGTTAAGTCAGTTTGCAAACGGAACCTCATCAGAACATCTTTAGCCTCTGACTTTAACGATTCAGAATTACTGCTTTCTTTATTTCCTATTTCGTCTTCCAAATTCACTGCAAAAGAGATCAAAATCATTCGAAATCATCGATAGTCAAGAAGAAAAATATAATTCCGAAGTTTAAAAATATGTTCGATTTGAATTGCCTTCGTCCACAGCTTAATCAAATATCAGATTCAAAGTGCTTTCCTCGATAACACACAGATTTCAAAAGAGAAGGAGAAGAGCTAAGAACACAGACGATAACGAGATTGCAAATCTCACCAGAATCGGTGCGAACAAAACCTCCGTCGAAATCGTACGCATCGCCGGACAAAGTCACGAGAACACGATCTATTGCAATTAAGTCCTTATATGGTCTTTGTTAATTGTAAAGTCCTTGAATTAAGGGGTTGAAAGCATAAATGTTTACTTAAAAAGGGTTAATACGTTATTTTATTATTTTTAAATATAAATATAATAAATTAATTGTCGGAAATATAAATAGATGTTTACTTACATAATTCTATTTCCTTTTTAATTAGGTAATTATCTGTTAATTAACTTCTTTAAATATTGATTTACAAGTTTTGCTTGAGGAAAATCATTCAGCTTCATCAACAAAACCCTAACCGATAATTCTTTAACGTTTTTCGTAATGTTTGATTAATTCTGCTCTCTAACCGGCTTGGGTGAAAGAGTTTGATCGATCAGTGTGAGCTAGTGCTTTTGTTTCTTTTGGTTTGTGTCGTTCATCTATGAGAGTTTCATGTATTGTTTATCTTTGGATATGATGATGAATAAGGTTAATTACATACTTAAAAAGCAATACCTTAGTGCATTGTTGTCACAAATTTGAATCCGTGATCATATAATGTATGTTCATGTACAGTCACAGATGAATTTTTCTACAAATTTTTAGTTTACGTTTCATATACATTTAAAATAAAACTTTTACTAGACGTATACTACAACAAGTCACAGGTAGATGGAACAACAAAAATCAAGCTTCTCCTGCAAAATCATACATTTCCCTCTTCATCTCCTCCACCAACAAACTAAACAACGAACCTGAATCTTCCCTGCCACATTGTAAATAATTGCTTCCGGCAAGAAACTCCATTATCTCACCGTTGATCTCAATCCAGCTGCATCCTGGTGTCTTAACGACGCCTCTTTCTCTCATCAACACCCTCATCTTCGCTGACTCATCCCACATCTTCATATCAGCTAACACCTTTGAAGATATTACATAGTTTCCTGCGTTTTTCGCCTCCTTCATCTCCATCAACATCCTCATCGCATTCTCTCTGATTGTCACATCTTTTCTCTTATGACAGGCTCCAAGGATCGCCGCTAACATGATCTCATCAGGCTTCCCAGGATACCTCTCCATGAACTCCCAAGCCTCGTCTAACATCCCTGCACGAGACAGGAGATCGATTATGTTTGTGTAATGCTCGATTTTTGGGACCAACCCAAACAAAGAACTCATCTCATGGAAATATCGACATCCCTGATCGACCAAACCCGCGTGCACACAAGCAGAGAGCACTCCTATGAATGTAACATCATTTGGAGGAACTGACATTCGATCAAATAGCAAAAGAGCTTCTTTAGCGTGTCCACGATGCGCATAAGCGGTTATCATAGCATTCCAAGTGGCTTCGTTTTTCACTGGCATGGCTTCAAATACTCTCAGTGCTTCCTCTATGCGTCCACACTTTCCGTACATGTCGACTAGTCCTGTGGCCACATAGATGTTATGTTGCAAGGCAACTTCTGAAGCGCAGAACTCAATTCGTTTTCCTAATTCAAGAGCTCCAACTGAACCACAAGCAGACAGAAGCGTAGACAATGTGCCAGCGTCTGGGGAAATTCCAGCTTTTTCCATCTCAGAAAACAGTTTAAAAGCCTCATTTGACTTCCCATTTTGTGAGTATCTGATAAAGAACAACCGCAATAGCCAAATTCAGATTTATTAACGACCGGGTAAAAGAATCATACTTTATCTGAATACAGAGTGTCGAACATTGACTTACACAGTGATCATAGCATTCCAAACAACACGATCCTTGTTAATCATTTGATTGAAAACCCTCCTGGCAGAATCCAAATCGCCACATTTTCCATACATACTGATCAACTTAGATCCAAGAAACGTGCTTAACCCGATCTTCTTGGTGATGGTCATCTCCTCCACCAATCTACCAGTTGTCAAATCACCCAAATGTGCACAAGCACCCAACATACTCACCAACGTCCTCTCATCTGGTTCAAAACCTTCATCCTCCATCTTCCTAAACAAATCCATAGCGTCTTTTGCGTGACCCGCTTCAGAATACCCAGAGATCATCGAGTTCCAAGTCACCGTAACTCTATTGGTAATTCCGTCGAACACCTTCCGTGCAGAACCCACCTGACCACATTTGGCATACATCATAATCAAAGAATGATTCGTATGATCGTCTCTTTCCAATCCGACTTTGAACAACGACGAATGAACAGATCTACCAACCCCTAACTCCTCAAGGTTCCCGCAAGCGATGACAGCGAAATTATAAGTGAAATTATCAGGCTTTAACCCGGAAAACTTCATGCGGCGATAGAGAGACAGAGCAGCTTCGTGATGATGCCAAGTATTGGTCAACCCTCTGATCATGTAATTGAAAGAGTAGTGATTTGGTTCTTCCGTGACGGAAAAGAGAAAAGTGGCGTAATTGAAGTCTCCAAGCTCGACGGCTCTGGGAATCAGGAAATTGGGTTTGTCGACGGAGTGAAACATCATCTGGGCTTGAATCTCTCGTAATTGGTTCACCGATATGCATTTTTTCAACAGGAAAAGAAAGTCTCTCTCGAGATCGCCGCGTCCTATGGGTTTGAATTGAGGAAATTGGCGGCAAGTGGCGAACGCTAGTTTCACTGGTTTGATGAGCATTTGCAAACTCCCATGTCAGAAGAGCCTACACTGGACTTAAACACCCAATTCAGCCTCGGTTTAGGTTTAACCGGAAATTAAAAGCACGACCAGCAATGGCGGACAAAGAAGACTCATATGCAAACAACAGAAACTGAAGAGTTTGTGTTTTGTCTTCGGGATCGAACACAATGGAAGACGAAGCAACAATGGCGGACGAAGAACTCAGTGGAATCGACGTCGGAGTCGATGTTCGGATTCAAGGGGAAGAAGAAAGGCGATTAGGTTTTTGATAGAACGACGTCGTATTGGTTGATAGGTTGTTGATAATAAAACCCATCTAAACCGGAATGGCCGATTGTATAACCTGTCTGACAAAACCACATCTAAACCGGATTTAACAATTTGGTCGGTTTGGTTCGGGTCGGGTCATGTCGACTCGGGTCAGATCTAGCGGCAGGAGTCTCTGGGAGATCCAAAGCGAACACAACCGTATAAAAGTTAAATCTTTGCCGGAACAAAGCGCGTCGCCGATCACGCGCATCTTCCTTCTCTCACCTAATCACATTTTGGTTCTTTAATGGCGAAATCGATCTAATACGTCCCCGTGAACTTAACCAAACTCTTTTCCCCAAAAAAACCTTTTTGCTTCAACCATACTTCTCCTTCTTCACCACCCTTCTCGCGTCTCTTTGTATATATGCATCTATACTTAGTAGAGACGACTCGTCGACGACAATGCTAGAATGGCTCAATTTAGACAATCGGGAACTGAGAGATTTAGCTCCGGTCGCGGCGGTTACCAGAACGGCGGAGCAGCTTCTTCTGATCATATAGCGATCGGGATCCGAAACGGTGTTGGAGGAGTTAAGGCTAATACTAATCGGTGGCGAAGATCCGTGCGAGCTGATAAGATTCGTAGACTTGGAATTGGCTCTGTTGTGTTTGTTCTTTGTATTGTCCTCGTTGTTACTGTTCTAGCTTACTATTATATCTCTGGTATTACTAGTAGTGGCTACGATGATAAAGGTTCGTTTTTTTATGGATCTTTGTAATGGAAGGTGCTGCAAAATTGGATTTTTATCTTTTTATTGATGTTTTTTTTTTGTTGCAGGGTTTGATTCATATGAAGGTGATTTTTTGACGAATGTGACTAGAATAGATCCTTCAAAGGTGCTTGAGTTTGGTCATGGTTCAGTTGTTCATGGACGAGATTCTAGGGATTGGGATAAGGATGATAGAAGACGAGATGATGATTATAATGAGGCTGAAGTGAAGAAGGATGTACAAGTTCAGAATCCTGTAAAGGGTTCTGATTTGAAGGGGATTGGTATGTATAATGAAGCTGGAAGGAATGAACTTAAGATGTATGAAGCTGAGTATCAAGCTACGCTTGGGAAAAGTGGTGGATCATTGAAGAAAAACGGTGTAAGTCATGAGGGAGTTGATGTGGATACTGAGGATGATGATGCGGTTGAGTCTCATGACGGGGATGAATATGTTGATTCTGGGCATGAGGATGATAATGAAGAGCCGCACAAAGAGAAGACTAGCGAGGTTCTTGATTCTATGACTAAGCAACAGAATGTGGAGAAGGATGATGGAGGTATGTCGAAAAGGTCGCTTGGGGATTCTTCTCTTGTTAGTAAGGGTGGTAAGTCCGGGAAAACATCACGATCTGATACAAAAAGAAGAGGTCGTCGCAGATCTTCAGGTGATTAACTTGTAATAAACTCGGTTTAGAAGTGAGTTTGGGTATCTGCTGCTCATCATTCATTTGGTTTTCAAATATTTCAGGTTCATGTGAAATGAAGCTATTGAATTCTAGTCAACCAATAGTGGAGCCTTTGAATACTCGAAAATCTGCTAGATTCTCCTTACAGTATATAGAGAAGGAGGATAAACCTGATGGAGAAGAACAGTGGGAGCCTAGATTTGCAGGTCATCAGAGTTTACAGGAGCGAGACGATTCCTTCGTGGCTCAAGACAAGAAAATTCATTGTGGCTTTGTCAAAGGCCCCAAAGGATCCCCAAGCACTGGATTTGACCTGACAGAAGATGATACCAATTATATCAGTAGATGCCACATCGCTGTGATCTCATGCATCTTTGGCAATTCTGATCGCTTGAGGCCTCCTGCCAACAAAATGGTATGGTTCTGTTCATTGTTGATATTATGGTTATGTTGTTTGGCCGTCTCTTTTCCAGGTTTAAGATTTATAATCTATGGCCAGTAAGTTGTGTATCTTTAGATTAACCTATCTACCATACATGGACCCTGAGCTTGCACAGTCACTAACAGAGACTTTCGAATCGAGTTAGCTTAGATTTTGGGTGGCTTGAGTTGACCTGTGGGTGTAGTTTAATTAACTGTTCTAGACTAGTGACCGGGAATAAGATATAAATGAGCAGTTTTGAGCTAGGTACGCAAATTGTGTGTTATGAATGCTTAGATAGCTGGCATTTTAAATTTGGTTTTGTGGGTACTTTCATCAATCATGAATAGCCATATGTTAGAATGTCTTTCGCAAAAACCTCAGAAGGCATTTTTGCTCTGTTTTGTTCGTATTTTCCTTTTGATTCTTGGTTATGATATTTTGTTACCTGTACTAACCTTTGTTCTATTCATTTCATTTAGATAAGTCGCTTGTCAAGAAAAAATGTATGCTTCATTGTGTTTGTGGACGAGATTACCATGCAAACACTTTCTGCAGAAGGACATGCCCCGGACAGAGCAGGATTTATTGGTTTGTGGAAGTTGGTTGTCGTGAAGAATCTTCCATATGCAGATATGCGGAGGGTAGGAAAAATACCCAAAATGTTGCCACACCGACTTTTCCCATCAGCAAGGTGAGTCTCGTTTCATCGCGATAACTCTCATTTTGATGGGTCTAACTAGCACATATTTCCAGCAGTTGCGTGTAGAAAACAGTTTATAAAGCATCTGTATAATTTTCATTCTGAGCCACGAAGAGAAAAAGTCAAGTGAGAAATACATTAACGACTAGATCTTGAAAGTGGGTTCTCTAGAATGCTTTGGAATGTGATATGCGATATGCAATATCCGCTGAAAAACTTCTCATGTCAGTTCATATCTGGATCAACGGACACAGAAACTTATCTGCTGTTTATTCATCCAGGTACTCAATCTGGTTGGACAGCAAATTACGACTTCAGTTGGACCCTCTACTCATTCTGGAGTACTTCCTTTGGCGTAAAGGTCACGAGTATGCTATATCCAATCACTATGACCGTCATTGTTTATGGGAAGAGGTTGCACAAAACAAGAAGCTGAACAAGTATAACCATACTGTTATTAATCAACAATTTGAGTTTTACAAGGCTGATGGGCTGACCAGATTTAATGCTTCGGATCCGTTTAAGCTTCTTCCTAGCAGTAAGGATCTGTTCCCTATTGGTTTACTGATACAAACCAGGATTAGGACCTTCCTTGGGGTGATTATTCATTAGTTAGTGTCTGTAACTGCTACTGGGTTGCTCGTAACAAGCACACTGGGTTTTGAAATATTATCTAGTATTGTAAAGTTCATCCTTAATTAAGATTTTAGATTTTCGCACAAGCAACTGCATATATGGTCATGGTATCTTAATAGTTTATGCAGCCAGCTGTTATTCCAGCATATAGGTTATATGCAACTTGTGGGTCGAATCCTCATTGCCACCATGCAAGGGTCAATCATTAGCTGGTGTTGGTCATGCATACAATACGTTAGTACTTATTGCTTACTTACAATCCTCTTTTCATCTTATCTGCAGATGTTCCAGAGGGATCTTTCATAGTACGAGCACATACTCCCATGTCGAACCTGTTCTCCTGTCTTTGGTTCAACGAAGTGGAACGCTTCACTCCCCGAGACCAGCTGAGCTTTGCCTATACTTACCAGAAACTAAGAAGGATGAATCCTGATAAACCATTTAATCTTCACATGTTCAAGGTAAAAAGATCTCCTTTTGAAAAGTTTTCTTGATTATAATTCTGCTTGACCTAACAATAAGCTGCTTGATGATTTATCTAAAACATTGGTTCGCCTTATCTGTAAGCTTGATATAAAATTTTAAAGTCAAAAGTGCTCTTGACATGATATGAACTGAAGTCCTCCTATAAACTAGAAATAGAGCCAAACCTCGAATGCAACATGTCTAGTTGTGAAGGTAGTATGTAATGGCTGTGAGAGCTGAGTCATTGATGTGGGTCATCAAAATTTGTAAGAATTGAACCGGTCAGTAGGAAATATGTGTTGAATCCATTCTGGTTAGTATAAGAACCATATCTTATGGAACAGAGAGGGTCTCAAAACCGTAGCTCTTGTTCATGGAGAAAACACAACCGATGGATCTGTGGAGTTATGAATTAGTGTCATATAATAGGTCTGAGTAGTTAAGAGAACCAGATTTTCGAAGTTTTTACATGTTTTATATATTTCCTCATCTGGATTTCAGGACTGCGAGAGAAGAAAGATTGCAAAGTTGTTCCGTCACAGATCATCAGACGAGAAGCGAAACCTTATACAAGCATCAATACAATAAACGACTCTGTGCATGCTGTACCAAGCTGTATCCGACGTGTATATTACTTTGAGGCTCTACTGCTATATATTCACAGTGTCACTTGGAGAAATGCCACTTATTCTTTGCTCTGAATGACTTAGAAACTGCTGCAGGAAGATCCAGATGTTGTAAATTGGAACCGAGTCTGTTGCCTGTAGCGACAACCAGAGGAGGTTATACGAAAACAATGTGAGGAGATATGTAGATGTAGGCGGCGTTAAGAGTTGAAACTTTGAAAGAAGAAGAAGAAGAAGGGGCATGATTTAGATTCATGGAAGGGTTCCTCCATTTTTATTCAATTCATTGCTTTGTTTTTCTCTGTATCCCACTATCAATGCAACAATTTACCCTTGGACAAAGATACTCATCCCCTATATATATTACTTGATAAAAAATGATTTCTCAAACTTTGCTGTCAACATAAAAAAAAAAGTTTAATTGTTTCATTGTTTCAGTGGTTATGACTACGAGAGAGACAGTGGTTAACTATGATGATTTGAGAATGTTGCTAGCTAGGTTTAAAGCATGTTCTACATATATAGATTTGGTTAATTATGAATGCGAACGATTCTTTAATTGTTGTAATGCATTTTCTTTCAACTACTACTACTGCTCACATAAAGGATTTGATTATATAGACTGTAGATAACTTTATATGGTTTTCTTCTTTTTAACTTTTTGTTTGTTTGTTTGTTTGTGAATTTTCTAATGTCATTTTCGAGGTCAAACATATTTTTTTAAGCATAATAATATTTTTTTTTGTTTTTTAATGGTTTCTAAGCATTGTTTTAAGGATAGTTTCATGTATTTTTCATCATATTTAGTGTGTTTAGGTTGCATTTTGTATTTGTTGAGTATTTTAGGTGTTTGGAGATTATTGGAGGAATTTGGAGCTAAAGAGGCTAAAAAGAGCTTAATTGGAGCACATCTAGCAAAGTTAGTGATGGAGAAGCTAAGGAGATGAAACAATTGAAGCTTGAATCAAAAATGAACCAAAGAAGAGAAGAAATAAATGAGAAAACATGGTGCCCAACCGGACAGATCCAGGCCTAAAGAATTCCTGGAAGCTGAATTGCCAGACGAAGGCGCCTGATCGGGCGTGAACATTAGCCTTTTTGAATCAAAATCGGGTAGACCCGGTCTATTGTGAGTTGACCCGGTCTATTGTGGGTTGACCCGGTTCCCTTACATTGTCTTTATAAAAACTCCCTAAACCTAATTATTGGGGATCTATGTTTGTTCTAGGGTTTAAGGATAAGGTTAAGGTTCTCTTTTGGATTTTGTATTTGAATCTTTAAGTTTTCATCTAAGTACTTCTTCCTTTTCTTAATCTACTCTCTTTCTTAATGATTTCACAAAGAACAACTCATTTCTATTGTGTAATCATCATGATTAGTGAGTAGTCATATATAATCTTTGAGCTATGATAGATGTAGGGTGATTTAGTGTTGGGTTATGGAGTTTAGGGTCTAGATTTATGTTTATCATTGCTTATTGGTTGTTTATCATGCTAGAAAAACATTGATCAAGTTGTTTATAGATCATAGGAATTTCATGCCCGGAAGGTGTTTGATGAAATTCCCCAACCAAAAACCTTTAAGATCTTTACATTCCTAGCTTTTGGAAATGGTTGATAGCGTGTTTAGAGGCTAAATAGGCTTGTTCAAATGCATATTAATCAATTGATTGCCATTTGACAAATGTTGGTTATTGGTTGATTAATAAAGAGATTAATGTCATGGAAATGTGTTAGTCTAATTTAGTATTCTTTGCCAAATGATATTGCTTGTTGGTAAGTTGATTTGTTGACTCCATAGCCCATGTCTTCATCTACCTAGATCAATACACATTAGCTCAAGGATTCACCTTTAGTTATTGTTTGAATTTCGTTATTTCCCGCTTAGCTTCTCTTTGAAGCTTGTTAGTCTATTTGCATATTCATTTCTTTGCTTTGATTCATCTTTTTAATATAGATTTGCATCATTAGTAGTAGTTTGAAATCAAAACCAATCTTGATTCGTTTAGATTAAGTGAGCAAGGGTATTCTTGGAGTGTTAGTCAATGCAAATTTGGATCGATAATAGTTGAACCGGTAGAAATACTGATGTGAAGATTATGACCGTACTTCACGAGATACCAACGACTTGAGTGAGCAACATCGCAAGAAGATTAAAGCTCTCAATGATAAGATGGGCAAGATGATTCTTGCGAATGAAAAACCGGTCCACTTTGTTTCTGAAACCGATGTTTAGGAGAGCTATCAAGAGAATGTTGAAGGTTGTGTAGAAGGGAGTGAAAAAGTGAACTACATTGGTGGTTAAGGCTACAACAAGTTCAACCCCAACTACCGTAACCACCCTAACTTTCTTACCGAAGCAACAATGTTGAGAACCCACATGACCAAAAGTACCCACCCACTAAGCATCCCAGTTTCACTCAACCCAACTACCCACCAAACCCTCAAAACCAATACCAACCCAAACCTCAATATAATCAATCCTACCAACCTCAAGCCACTACCTCTAACCCTCAACCTCAAGGAGACGAACAC